AACCAATGGGATATTTGAATTTGGCAGCACTAACAGAGATTCTGCTCCCTTCCATCATTCACTGCTACCTAAAAGTTCTTCAGCTATGGAGAAAATAGATACTTTGAGAACACAGAAGGGCATCCTGACAGAGATTTCAAATATTAAAACAAGCAATGTTCAGACAGAGGGCAAAATCTACTTTACTCTGGGTAAAACAGACTTCGGCACTCGCTCAATGAAGAAAGCAGAAAAGATTAATAAGCAAGTGAAGGTCTCATGGTTCGGTCTGAGTCTAAATACAATACAGCAACTTTACGCAGGTAAGATAAATATGACTAATATTAACATAAGCTTAAGGGCTGCTTCTAATGCATTCATCACTTTACCTGTGTTTTTCTTGAAGTGGATGTGATTTTGGATCCTAACACAGCTCATCCTAAACTCATCCTGTCTAAAGATGGGAAACAAGTGAGTCATGGTGGATCCTGGAGAGATGTTCCCAATAACCCTGAGAGATTTGACTCGTCTGCTTGTGTCCTGGGAAAGGATGGATTTTCCTGTGGGAGGTTTTACTTTGTGGTCCAAGTCGGTGATAAGACTGAATGGGATTTAGGTATGACTCGAGAATCCATTGAGAGAAAGGGGAAAGTAACAGTGTGCCCAGAGAAAGGATTTTGGTGTATTTGGCTAAGAAATGGAGGTGAATATGTGGCTAATGAATATTGTCCTGTTCCTCTTTCCCTAAAAGACAAGCCCCAGAAGGTGGGGGTGTTTGTAGATTATGAGGAGGGTCTGGTCTCCTTCTACAACGTGGAGACCAAGGCTCTTATCTACTCCTTCACTGGTCAGTCTTTCACTGAGAAAATCTTTCCATTTTTCAGCCCTTGCAACAAAAGAGGAGATGTGAACACAAAGCCTCTGATTATCCATACTGCCTAATTACAATGCAGTCTATCTTCCTTTAAAGAAATAGTTAATACAACAACATATGTGGTCACAGTAGCTGGTTAAGAGTTTTTGTTGCCGTGTGTTTGTTTATTACCGGCAACCATGAAATATTAATTTCATGCCTGGCTAGGTAAATGTGAAGTTCAGTGAAGTACTTCTTCACTCTTGTTTCTTGCTTCAACTTGCTGTAGTTTTAAGAAATAGAAAGTATGAGTCACTGCAGTTTAGAGTAATGGGCGCTTGTTATATCATAATGTAATTGCATAGACATAAAATAATAATTGTCTTGCTGATTGTACATTAAATGAATTTTCCTTTAATTTTTCTTTCTTCATTTGTATTTATTTATTTATTCATTTGGAAAGTGAATAAAATGTTTTATTGAAAAAATTTGTGTGTTTGCTAAATTGCTAAACGCCAATTAACAGAACTTTACTAAACAGTTCTAACTCATTTAGAAGCATTGTGTTTCAAAGTAGATTGATGTGATTGCAGCATTTTTCCATCTTTTTCTTCTTCTCAGACAAAATATTGATCTTTTAGTTTACATGCACTTGCAGTGAAATTACAAAAAAAACATACAATTGTAAAATCACACAACACTCTAAAAATGTAATTTAAAAAAATGTTTTTTACCCCAACAGCTTGGTTAGTCCATATTTGACCCAAAGTTGGGTTGACATAACCCAGCATTTTTTAGAGTGAAGGAAAACAGCACAAAGAGTAAAGTTTGTGAACAAACTTTGATGTTGGTTTGAGAGAGCCTGAATAGAAAGTTAGTAGTTTTAAAAGCTTGAAGTATGAAGGTTTTAAGGCGAGAGAATCTATTAGACAGACAGATAATCAGCAGATTTGTGAACAATATTTGAGAGAAATAGGCCTTTTGTGTACATAGAAAAAGTCTAAGATCTTTGAGTTCAGCTCATGAAAAATGGGGGCAAAAACAAAAGTGTTGCGTTTATAATTTTGTTCAGTGTAGATGTTTTAAAGTGTTGCTATGTGGTTGTGAGGCAGTTGCTAGAGTGTTGCTATTCAGTTGTTAGGGTATTCTGGTTCGTTGCTAGGGTGTTGCTATAGGGTACGCTAGGTGGTTGCTAGGGTGTTACTATTGCCGGTCATTGTGTTGTCACTCACAATAAAGATCAATGAGTTGCAAGATGCCACAACATTTCGCAGCCTCTGGTTGTTAAAACCACCGCAATTTGAATTGCTGAAGAAATTGGATAAACTTTCACAGGTAAGAATGCATTTGGTTGTGTTTTTAATATGTATTAACTCAATATTACAAGGTTTTTAATCTATAGTACCTTTTAAATGCCATAATGACTTTGTCTTGCTGTATGGCGGACAGCTTACATATAGCGGCCCATAGAAACAGCCGCTAATAGGGCATCTACCTATACATATCTATGTGTTTCAGACAGATACTTGTTGCTAAGAGAGATATAGCATTGCAAGTCAGAACAGTCTGAAGGTCTGACCTGAGTTTTGTGGTAGGGTAGAGTGGGGGAAAACACCCTCCTACTGTTTTTCCCAAAATAACCACAAGATAAAGTCAAGATAAATTTTTATTGTAACTATGGACTACGTTGACAAGAGTGATGTAGAAGTTTTCACCATAAAGCTTACACTGGTGATGTACCTGAGAGAAAACAGATTTCACAGTGAATGATCTAATTAAGAAAAAAAGTGTTTTAAAGCTTATTGTTTTGTAGAAAATCACAGTGAGAACAGTAGGGCCTGTAGATAGGTAGTATGTGTTATTTACGAAAAAATATAATTATATTTTCAGAATAGAAATATTTTCAGACATAATTTTTTCTCAAACATAGTCTGTGGGGTAAAATGCCCCCCAGCCAGGTGGGGTAAAGTGCCCCCAGGCCCTGGGGCCCAGGGGGCAATGGGCAATTACTGTAGTTATTCTGTTCTGAACATCAAATCCTTTGTTTTTCCATCAAATGTATTCTAACTAGTTGGTTGAATAAAAATATTTGGACTTTATATTTAAAAAATGACCTCAAGTTAGCATCAGGTTAGCACCAGCTAACAAAATCCTTCAAACAGGCTATTATAATTTTGTAATTCATAATTATTGATTATATTCTCTTTTTAATTTTAAGCTAAAACTGCCTGTTCTCTGATTTTGCTGTAAATGTATAAAGCAAATTGCTTTGTAAGACTGGAGGGCATTTTACCCCACCTTGGTACAAATTTTATTGTTTTTAATTTTTGTTAAAAATCTATTAACATGAAAACTCTGGACATTTTTCATACTTGGTTTATAATTTATGTCATTGTCACTAAAACTATGATAACTTTTCTGAACACATTTAACTTTTGTTTCACAGAGAAAAACATCGCATAGTCCTTAAGGGGGACGTTTTCCCCCACTCTACCCTAACAGCTTGAAAGGTCTAGGATGAGTTGGAGTCAGAACGTTTAGTCTCTGAAGAAGTTAGCAGGGGTGAAATTAGGGGTGATGACTACAAGGTACACACCTCTTGTTTATGTTGGACTTGTCACTTCATGTTAATCTGCAAGCCAATAACACATAAGCTTTTATGTAGAACAAAAAGCTTTCCTGACCAATTGTAAAGAACTTTTTTTCCGACCTGCGGCTATTCCAGACTCCAAACAAAAAAAAAAAAGTACAAAAATCTCAAAATAATTTTCCCTGATTACATGTCAGCAATAATGTCACATCATTTATGATTACCCTAGCTTTTAAGTAAAGACATGGGCGATTTTATCAGCAACATTCTGTGACAGTTCATGGCAGTGATTTAAAATAGCTTAGCAAACATTTCCAATTGTAGATCAGGGGTCAGTTGACTAACGCCACCTTCAGCGAGTTTAAAAAGACACCACAAAAGAGTAGTTCAAGGTATATTGACATTTGGGCTAGTAGCCTATGACGTAATGTTTACAGAGGACTTAGCCCTCACCTTTACAATAAAGTGAAACTGAAACTATACATAACCCGAAATCCTTACCTTTACTGAACATCTTCTTCACTTTTTTGTTTTGAATAACACACGATTAGTTCTGCTGTGCATTTTCTCCTGATAACAGACAGGTGAGAAGAATGATTTTTCATTTGAGAAGGTGATTATGTAATCTGTTGGCAGATACACAAATTTTACTAAAACATTATTTAAATGTAATTCTAGGATAATGCAGAGACAGCAGTATGCTGCGTTATTAGATTAAGATCAATGAAATGCATATCTACGTACATAACTCAAGTGTGAAACTGAAATGAATTGCCATCTTCTTTTCAAAAGGATTTTGAATTGAACTAATAGGAGGGAGTATTTTATTTTAACAAAAAAGGATACACCTTTAGTAATATAGATCATGTGACTTGCATTACATTGAACAACCTCATGTTGTCATTATTTCTTCACTAACAGCCTTGCCTCTGTTTAGATGTTGACAAGCCACTTTAATGCCATATCAGGTGTTCACTGACCCAGTCATCACTTCATGTAGAAACAGCTTCTTTAGCGTCTGTACTGAAACATTCTCTCTTTTTTTTCCACAAATGAAAATAAACAGAGATTCATTAGAGATGGCTGATCACACAAAGATGAAAGAAAGCCCAAACAAATCTAATGTTCTGTGTGATGCCTGCCATGGAAATCAAAAACTCAGCGCAGTAAAATCATGCTTGCAATGTGTAACATCCTTCTGTGAGACTCACTTGGAAAATCACAAAACAGCAGCAAGGCTCATAAAGCACAAACTTATCGACCCTGTGGACAACCTGGAAGATTATATCTGTGTAAAACATGAAAAACCGCTGGAGCTATTCTGCCGAGATGACCGGACATTTCTCTGTCCTATCTGCATAGAAATAGGACACAAAGCTCACAACATTGTTCCTATAGAACAAGAGAGTGGAGATCAGAGGGTGAGAAATACAACAAAAATATCTGAAGATATTTAAGCAAAAAAAATGTGTGTTAATCAAACCAAACTGTCATAAAATCACTCAAAGAAAGATTTATCGTCCTCAGGCTCAGCTGGAAAAGACACAAGCAGAAGTCAAGATGATGATCCAGGATAGAATGAAGAAGACCGAGGAGATAAAAAGCTCTGAAAAGGTGCACTTTGAGTGATTCAAAGCCATAACAACTATGTATATGTAATTTTTAATGGTTACTCACCTTGTGGAGTTGATGGAGATAATGCTATAGAATGCTTCATATAACTCTTAACTCTGTTTTCCCTAACCTCACCAGAACAACAATGTCAAAAGTCTCACTGCTCTGATTGAGAGATATTGGTCTGAGCTGCTGGAGGTGATCGGGCAGAAGCAGAAAGCAGCAGAAAAGCAGACTGAAGAGCTGATTAAAGAGCTGGAGCAAGAAATCACTGAGCTCAAGAGGAGAGAGTCTGAGCTGGAGCAGCTCTCGCACACTGAGGATCACCTGCACCTCCTACAGGTCAGTGTTCTTTACTCAGCAATATCTCTTAGAATTCTTTAATTAGATCAAACTGCACATTTAGGGATCCCCTCTCTCTTGCAATACTGCAGACTTGCTCATCTGTGTGCAGCCTTCCACAAGTCAAGTCCTGGACCAGCAACATTACTGATATGAACATAGATCTGAACACAGAAATCTTTGAGAAAGCTCTCCGGGGCCTTCAGGAAAACATCAAAATGGAACTGAAGAAATTCTTTGAAATCAGTCAGTATTAGGGAAAATATATACTCTGTTGTTTCACTTGTGTATGTTTTTGTTTAAATGCGAATCCCTTTTTTTTCATAGTCCACTGTCCACACAGACCTTCAGTTGTTCAAGAGCCTTCTGCCTCAGATTCTGGGAGTACAGATTCTGTTCCCTCTCATCCTTTACTGGTGTCTGAAAGTTCTTCGGTGATGGAGAAAAAAGATGTTTCAGCTATCCTGAGCACAAAGCAGGGCACTCTGACAGAAGTTTCAAATACTACAACAAGCGATGTTCAGACAGAAGACAAAATCTACTTCAACAAGAGCAGCACTCCTTCACCAAAAAGAGTGGAAAAGATTCATAAAAAAGGTGCTGTGACTGATAAGACAGACACAGAAAGAACAGAACACTTTTTGCTTTAAAGTCTTTAACTAAGTGCTTTTTTGTGCCATTTATCCAAAATTGACATAAAATTTTGTCTTCTACTAATTGAAGTAACTGAAGTTTTGAAATCTATAACATATCCGAATTGTGTAAATTGATTAATTTATGTCACAATATTCCCAATCTCTCCTACTCCATGCACATGTGTGGCTTAAGGCTGGAAATACACTACAAAACTTTTGCTTCGATTTTTGCCCCTATTTACAGTCTGGAGGGGTTGACTCCAAAAGACAGAGCCAGTCTGCAGATTTGAGTTGACAGATTCCATAGAAAATGGCGTAGTGTATCATGGTCACAGACTCTTGATGTTTTAGCTTCAGACTATGAATCCATCCAATATGAGGATATCACACATGTTTGATATTTTCAGCCGATTTTAGAACACATGTTGTTTTTCTTCCTCTATGACTTTTTACAAAGTCGGTAAGTGTATGATGCCTAGCATTTCAAATCTGTTGTTGATGAAGTTTAATAGAAGTGTATACTAACATTAAATATTTCTCCATCAGCAGACCTGAGTACAATAAAGAAACTTTATGCAGGTAACGTCCACATGGTCATGGTCATGATTAACATAAGCATAGATTCCTCTCAGATGGAGCTTTTAAATTGGCTGCTTGTGTTGTATTTGTCACTGTACATGTGTTTCTTTTGCAGTGAATGTGATTTTGGATCCTAAAACAGCTTACCCTAAACTCATCCTGTCTAAGGACGGAAAACAAGTGAAGCATAGTGGATCCTGGAGAGATGTTCCCAATAACCCTGAGAGATTTGACTCCTCTGCCTGTGTCCTAGGAAAGGATGGGTTTTCCTGTGGGAAAATTTATTATGAGGTTGAAGTCGGTGAAAAAACTGAATGGGACATAGGTGTGGCTAGAGAGTCCATTGAGAGAAAGGGGAAAGTAACAGTGTGCCCAGAGAATGGCTTTTGGTGTATTTGGCTAAGAAATGAAGGTGAATATGTGGCTAATGAATCTTGCCCTGTTCCTCTTTCTCTAAAAGACAAGCCCCAGAAGGTGGGGGTGTTTGTGGATTATGAGGAGGGTCTGGTCTCCTTCTACAACGTGGAGACCAAGGCTCTTATCTACTCCTTCACTGGTCAGTCTTTCACTGAGAAAATCTTTCCATTTTTCAGCCCTTGCAACAAACGAGGAGATGTGAACACAAAGCGTCTGATTATCTACTAGTTAGTTAGTCTACTACTAGTTAGTTAGTGTAATTATTAAACAATGTTTCTTTTAAAAAAAGTTTTAATGCAACAAATAAATGACAGGGGTTACACATTGCCCTAAGATTTCATCTCTAACCTTCCTCAGAGAGTGTGGATTGATTTTCTGCATCCAAATATCTGAATGTTTGATGAATTACTTACTATACTTTATTATTTTTTATATGTCACACACTTTTACATTACAGAAGTTTTATGAAATATTGCACTATTCTAATAAGGAAATTTGGTGTGGTAGCATTGCTTGTATTGTGTTCACCCATGGATTAATTACTTCCACTTTTATGATTCTCATCTTTGGATAAAACTGTCTGCTAAACGAATAAACATAAATGTGGTTGATGCTTTCATTCTGTCACTTACTTTATGCCAACACACTGACCATTCGACTAATCTGACACACAAAACTGAAATACAAATCGAAAGAATAGTTTCTCGTCATTCAGTAGAGCTAAGTACACAATACTTTGCTTGCGTGAACAGTGTCACTGCTCAAACAAATAAGGTTTTTAAACACCCTTCAGGCAACCTTTAGAAATCATTGTGACACCAAGCTTTGTCACTGTCACTATAAAGAGCTAAGTAGGTTTGTCAAAAGCACATGGTTAACTTGTTTTAAGACTTAATTAGCTTGTCAAACTGCCTGATAAACACTTATGGGTTTCTCAAGTAGATTTTAATGTAAAAATCATTTGGGACTTGAAAGTGGCCAGAGGGGCACATGGATCAATCATGTGAATGTAAAAGGAGTGAGACTAATTCTGGTCCTTCTGTTCTAGATCACAGAAAAATTACATTTAATACTTTTCTTATATAATATGTAAATGCAAAAAAAAAACATTTTGAAAATATTCAAATATTTAACAACAATGATATCAGTACTTCTAACAGAACATCACTCTTTATGAAATGTTATTTGAGGTATAGCCTACTTAAACAAACAAATAAATAGGTTATTTATCCACCAAAGACTCAAATACACACACACACACACACCATCTCAAAATCATGGCAAAGATGAATAATGGGACATGTACAGACAGAGACCCCAAATACGCAGCAGAGGTCCCTTTATCCCTTTTCTCCCACGTTTCTGCTGAGTTGATCAGTAAAAATTATTTTAAATGGCGTCACGAAACCTCAATTACGTCAGGAGGGGGGCCTAGAAATAGACTGTCAACTAAACTTCAAACTGCAGGATATTTTAGTTACCGTGATTTTATAAGTCAACGTGAGTAGTTCGTTTCATCAATTTGTGCTGCTTCATAGCCTAGGAAAGTCTAAAGGGAGTTATCTAGCTAAAGCTATCTTTGAGACGCAGTCAGTGTAGAATCTGGCGTTTAGTGAACCACTGAACACGAAATATTCATATTTGGTTAGGCAAATATTACCTCGGCTGGGCAGTCTCCAGCGGGTGAGCTTCCGTCTATCGTCCCGGAGAATAGTGCAACAAATTAGTATGCGTAAATATTAAACGTTAGTTGAGCGTCTCGCATACGTAGCCCCGTACATAAAATGTGTAAGAAAATTAGATATCATGACCACGACTTAATAATTCGTTTTATATGAACATAGCTACTGCTTAGGTTTATATGGAGAAAACACAACCAAGTTGCCTTGAAAAGTAATCCCGAGAAAAAGTTTTAGACCAGTGGTTTTATGTCCTGGTCTTGGGGACGTACAGTACAGACGTTATGTATGCACACTTTGTAGAACTCTTATATCTGACAAGCCCAGTTAAGATCACGGAGGGCTCTTTTAACGAGTTGAATAGATGAATCGTGTGTTAATAAAGAAGATATAGCCTACAGAACATAAAATTTGATTTTAAAAAAACTGATATATACAACTTTGCCGTTGATAGTTCACGTAAATGTTTTAATTCAATTAAAAGTTTTAAAATAATATATAAATTGTATTTATTTCGGAATATTCATCTTGCATCAACTTCTTTTAAAATCGCATTTCATAAACAGGCCACTAGATGGTGCACTATTACTGTGTAAACTCTGATCAACGAAATTGTAAATCCTGTGCTATGATTACATAAAAAAAAAAAATTATAATAAAATCAATGTACATGGACCTTTCTTATAATTCGGAGAACTTCAGAACAACCGCTTAGGCTCATTAATGAAATATTAATTTAAAGTATTTATGATTTTGTATCTTTTACATTGCTATAAAACAGTAGTTATGATAAAGTGCAAAAAATAACATGATATTTCTGTATAGAGGAGTTGTCTTAAGTCAACTCTAACAGCAAATTTATGTTATTAAATTTATGTTTAGTATATAAAAAGTAATTAATTGTAGATAACAGCAGTTCTTGAATTCCACAAATACAGTAACATTCTTAATTCCTCAGAAACAGCCCTATTTCAATCCTCTCAACACCTTGTACGACTACAGAATGTTAGAACATCCCATCACACCCCACCCTCTTCTTTTTCTGCTCTTCCCTCCCTCCCTGTTCCCAGTTCTTTTCCTTCCCCTTTCCTGAGCTGAATGAATGGAAGGTCCCCCGCAGCACAATGGAAGCTGGTCTCGTAGGAATGCCAGAAATGTCTGGAGTCAGCAGGAGACTGGAGCCCATGGGCAACACGCCCCCCATGACATCACAGACGGTTCATTTCGCCCACCTCCTGACTCCACTCCACTTCTCTCCCTCATCCCTCCGTTTTTCCAAAGTAAAGCGGGACATTTGAGGACTGAAACAAAGGTGTTTCGTTACATTTGTTTGTAATAGGTTTTTTTCTTGGGGCAGTGCATGTGTTTAGGAAGGAAGCGTGTGTTATGTGTGTAACATTCACATAATGTATATTTTACACTGTTTTGTTTTAACATACAGCTCAATAAATTCAACAGTCTCTTCTCTAAACACTGAATATGGTTCTAGGTCAAATAAACAAAACACTGACTGTGTTTCCACACTAACCCGGGGCTGGGGTTCAATTCTATTCTCTTGACAGACCAGTATGCGTCGAGGAAAAGATCCCTGGTGTGGTCGTCATATGGAGGACTCTCCATAAATGGAAAAGCACGGCAACAATCTACACCATTTGATTCATGTGATATTGGATTTCTCTCTTAGCTTTGTGTGGATTCTTCTTTCCCATTCTTTTTCTCTGTTTCCCCCACTCTTCCTCTCTCTTTCTGTCTCACTCTCTCTATTCCTTCTTCCCTCATTCTTTCTGGCAGGCATTCAATTTCACACTTGGGGGAGCAGAATGAGGGGAAGGTCAGGGCTGTGTCAACAGAGGCCAGCATTTTTTTTCTTTTTATTTCTGCTGATACAGGGAGAATGAAGGGAGAAAGAGAGACCTAAGTGTCCCTTTTCTTCTCTCCTTCGCACATACACCTACTTCTTGCTGCTCTCTCACACACTAGCAGACACTGAGTCCTTCCCTTGGGTTTTTCTCACTGCAGTTGTCTTGTCTAGCCGAGCAACAAGAGTTACTAGTGAAAATGACCTTTCATTTATAACACTTCAACCTCTCAAGGATGAATACTGTGGAAAAATTGGCACGCAGGTTAACAGCTTTTCCATTTATTGACTTTTAAACAAGACTTAGTACTATTAAAACCTAAATGAAATTGGCACTACTTGCTTGTGTTTCAATGGATCCCCTAAGGGGACATGGTAATAGAAATAATATGACACGCAAGAAAAAAATTTATGTTTAGGCGTTCACTCACAAAACTTTTCGCATTCTCTCGCAAAAGTATTGAGAAATATATATTTCTGAACAGCTTTTCCATTTATTGACTTTTAAACAAGACTTAGTACTATTAAAACCTAAATGAAATTGGCACTACTTGCTTGTGTTTCAATGGATCCCCTAAGGGGACATGGTAATAGAAAAAATATGAGACACAAGAAAAAAATTTATGTTTAGGCGTTCACTCACAAAACAAAAGTATTGAGAAATATATATTTCTGTATGTTTAATATATATTTCTCTCACAATTTCTTTCTTTCAAACGTTTTTCAGGGGAACACACATTTTTTGCGAAAGAATGCAAAAGCTTTGTGAACAAATTAAAAGTTTCTTTGGAGAAGATTTTGCGGGAGAATGCAAAAGCATTAATACATATGTTTTATCCCCCCCATCTTATTTTTTGGCTATGTCCCAACTCTGTAACTAATGATTTATTGTTATTCCGATTTTTTTTTTTTTAAATGTATGTATCAAGAGAAAGGAAAAATTTAAATCGCATCATATGACCCCTTTAAGGGCCATTCCAATGCACTGCTTTTCCATTGTTTTTCTATGTAAACATGCTCTACATTGATGCCTTTGACCAATTTGTTCTCGTCTCAGATCTGTTGCCGTGTCTTATGCATGACATGTCATTCTAAAGACATGGCCATCAGTTAAAAGAAGTTCTGTCATGACAACTCTCGGAGGGATTGGCATGGTAATG